ATGTTACCAAGCCACTAAAAGACATAGAAGAGCCTTAAAAACATATTGCTAAGTAAAAGAAGCCAATCTGAAAAGGCTACATACTCTAAGATTCCAACTACAGGACATTCTAGAAAAGATAAAACTACAAAGAGTATAGATCAGAAGATCAGCGGTTGCCAGGGTTTCAGGGGGGATGGAGGGAGGGATGGAGAGAGCTCAGAGAATTCTCAGGGCAGTGAAATTACTCTGTATGATCCTGCAGTAATGGACACGTGTCATTATACGTTATAAAATCTGCAACTTGATGTATTTCATCAGCTTTGGAAAAATCCCCAACTAATATCTCTTTATATAGTGATTCTGCAATATATTCCCTTTCCTCCATTTTTAAAATTTCAGTTACACATATTTTAGAACTTTCCACAATATTCCATATTTTCTAATGCTCTTTTTCATATTCTCGATGTTTTTATTCCATGCCTTAGCGTGGAGATTTTCAGCAAACCTACTTTCTTCTTTGTCTAAATTATTGATATATCGATCTCCTGTGTTTTTTTAATTTTACTGATTTTAAATTTCATTCCTCTGATAAAATGCTCCTTATTTTGTTCATATTTGTTCAGTCGTTCACCTTATTTATTAACATATTGACAATATAATATCATATTAAACTAGACAGAAATACCTAGAAAGCTAGGGTTGGAGAGATTTTCCTTATCTCTTAACTAGATAAATAGTATATTGCTTTGGTTGCTAGTTCCTCATTAAACCAAAAATTCCAGCAATGGACAAAGACTGAGACAATATCTAGTTTAGAGGTTACAAACCCAAATGCCTACTAGTACCAGGCCGTCAGGGAGTAAAGCAGTCCGAGAATCATAAAAAGGGCAAATTCAATCATCAAAGACACGTGGCACCTGTGGCGATAGGGAGATTCTGAGCCTGGTGTGCCTGAGGTGGCCCAGGAGAAGAACATTCCATCCTAAGGGACACTGGGACTCGCTGCTTGTGACAAGGTGGAAAAGTGGACTGAGTATTTACGGAGCTCAAATATTTCAACATACAAGCTATGTTTTGCATAAAAACACATACTTTTAAAATTCCAACATTAATTACTTTTTAAACACTGTGCTTCCAAAAATAATAATAATAACAACGGCACTTTGGGACAGAGGTATAGCATTTAGAGCGTGAGCTCTAGAGCCAGACCACCTGAGTTCGAATCCTGCCTGGCGGGCGACCCGGAGTAAGTCATTCCACCCGACTTGGTCAGAGTTTCCTCATCTGTAAAGTGGAAATGATACGAGTATCTACCTCGTGGAGCGGCTGGGTGGATTAGACAAGTTAATATCCATGACACTCCAAAACTGAGATCATGAGTCCAGGAAAATATTCATTAAACAAATAAAGCAGTTTGCAGGGCAGATTCCCTCCCTAAGTTGACTTCAGCCCACGGGCACCCTTTTTAAGCATCTGCCCTTGTCCAACCTCCTTACTCTACAGATGGGGGCACATTTGGGGCACAGCAAGGGGAGGGGACCTGCTCCGGCATGCATGCAGCTCGTTAGCCCTACAACTAAGTCTAGGACTAGAATTTCCTTCTGATGCCTTTTATCAATCAAATCGTGTGCCCTGCAAGCCAAGCAGCTCATTTCCGTCGAAGGCCGAGGGGTGGACGCTCCCTCAAACTGTGGACACTTCTCTAATTGCCAGGTCTGCCCTGAATTCATTGTGATCATTAGCAGAAACCCTCGTGCTCCGGCTGAGAGAGGAGGGGGAGGCCCAGACATATCATTGCTCATCTAAATTTTTAATAATGCTCCAATCTTCAGATCATCGGGGTAATCAAACCCAAACGAGCCTGATACTCAGAGCCACAGAATAACAAGGGGAGTGAAAGGGATAATGTTTCTTTAATGAAAGTTTCATCAATGCAGATTTCTCATTGAATATTAAGGGTCTTGGCTCGAAGCCAGCATCAGAGCAGATTGCTGTGACATTGACCTTTGTTCCTCAGAGGGAGACGCAAGTGCAGAGTCGGGCTGGCTTCACCTGCTTGGGGCAACATAGGTGGTCGCCCTTGCAGCTCATATGAAGGAAGATCTTGAGCCGAGGGAAGTGGGGGTGTGGGCAGGTGGGCTCAGGCCCCCCAGTCCTTTCCACGTTGCTCTCCACACTCCGTGTCTCAGCACCTCCCTTGTTGCTCTGCGTCTCAGCCTCTCCCTTCCCCGCCCGTCCTGCTGTGGCCTCCCACGCCCGACTCCACAGCACCTCCTTCTTCCAGCTGCTCAGGCCTAACTCTTGGAGTCAGCCTTCATTTGCTCAGCCTGACCTTCACGGCTAAATCCCATTGGTGACCCTGCGCCGTACCTCCCTGCCCCCACTCCATCGTGGCCTTCTCTCAGGTCCAGCTGCTTCTGCCCTCAGCCCCACAGTTTGTCTCCACACAGTCTGAGAGTCTATCTAAATAAACCCAGAGCACGTCATCCCTCTGCCCAGACCCACTCAGTGATCTGGAATTGCACAGTGAAAGCCAATGTCCTCTCAGTGGCCTACAAGATCATACATAAATCCAGTCCCGTACCTCTTACCTCAGCCCCCCGCCGTTCCCATCTCCCACCTCCCTGTGGCCACTATGACCCTGGCTGCTCCTCACAGGCCGCTCCTGTCACTCCCTCGTTATCCTGCTGTACCTTCTTTTTGACGAACATCACCGCTGGCCTGTTACGTCCTCGTTAGTTTCCATGCGCATTGTCTCTCAACGCCGCTGATATGTGAGCTCCTTGGAACAGAGACCTTGCTCGCTCTTCTCCGCTGCCTAGAAGAAAGCTTCATGCAAGAAAGGTGCACAACACGATAGGCCTCAAATGCACAGGTGAAGGGCAAGGTTTGACACGCTTTTTAAGATAAGTTCACTAGTATTAATTGAGCACCTACTATATTTTAGGCCAGGCTGACCTGACCTCTAGCATGTGGACAGACACTAAATAAACAAACAGCCCGGTGAGCAGCATCAGCTGCAGACAGAGTCCTAGGAGAAGCACATCTGTGCAGGGATCATCTGAGCTGAGCTCAAAAGAACAAGAAAAATATACCCATGTGAAGACTATGTGAAGAATGCAAAGGTTCAGCGTTTTCTGAAAAACAAGCCTTCAGCCACAGTGACCGAGGGGTCAGTTTAAGATGATGGGGTTGTGTTGAGCCTTATGGTAATAATGGCAGCGATGCTCACTGATATTTGCCATGTGACACTTTACATATATTATCTCATTTAAACCTCACAACAAATGAGAAGGTAGGTAGCGTTATGAGCCTCATTTTACAGATGAGGAAACTGATTAATTTCAATCAAGTACCCAGTGTCACAATTCTTTATTACTCAGCCACCATTGCAATAATGCTCTATAACATAATGCTCAGAACTCGGGGACTTATAATAATAATCCTTCTCAGCTTACAGAGTTTTCGGCCATCTGGGTTCACCTGATCCCAGCTGGGCTCTATCGGATGGCTCTGCTGAGAGGGTCACTGGGCTACTGGATTGGCCCCAGCGTAGAGATCAGGTTCAAATCAGCCCTGTGAAGCTCACACCAACCTGAGGCAGCCCTGAGGCAGCTCACTGGGGCGGGACCTTCCAGAAGCCAAGAATCAAGCCTAACCCCATGAGTGCATTTAGGGCTTCTACCTACATTGACCTCACAAGTGCCCCACTGGCCAAGCAGGTCTCATGGCCATCCCACATTATTGGGAGTCCCTGTGACATCATGTGGCATAGAAGGGGATCAAGAACTGGGAGCAAAAAAAAAAAAAAGAACTGAGAGCCATGACCCACTCGCCACAGGCACATGGGGTGGTAACCGAGCAGGGAGCTCACCTGGGCAGCCCAGCCGCGCTGTCTCATTCCTAACCACCAGGCTGCACCGCCTCTCAGTTATGTGTGTGGGGGAGGGGAGGAGACCTGGATTTTCACCTGGGAGCAATCTGAAACTTTATTGGGTGGAATAGCATCCCCCCAGCATTTCATGTCGCCCGGAACCTCGGAACGTAACTTTATTTGGAAAGAGGGAGGGTCTTTGCAGGTCTAATTAGTTAAGATGAGAATAAGGTATGGACTGTAAATACATGGACTTGCACAAAGCCTGTGTGAAGACACACGGGGTCTGGAACATTACACGATGGCAGAGCTGGAGCGGAAGTGAAGTATCTACGAGCCAAGGAAGGTCGAGGATTTCCAGGAGCCACCAGAAGCCAGAAGGGAGGCCTGGAGGAGGTTTCCTCAGAGCCTCCTGGAGGAACCAACCCCGCCACACCTCTACCTCAGACTCTGGATTCCTGAACTGCGAGAAACAAACTACCGTTGTTTTAAGCCACCCAGTTTATGGTCATTTGTTAAAGCAGCTGTAGGCAACTAACACAGAAGCCAGCAGAAGGTTCTGGGCAGGGAGCACATGATCTGGTTTACATTTTCAAAGGCCTCTGTCAGTAAGTGTTTCTGCCTGTGAGTTAAATTCTGGAGGGATTTGCCTCACCCTTTCTTGCCTAAGGCCTTCCGTGAGCCGACCTTCAGATCTGGGGTCCTCCTGCTCTTCAAGCCAATCCGACGTCCTGAGGCTCGGGGAAGCTTTTCCATGTCACTGTCCTCCCGACCACCAGCTCTATCTCCTCTGAACCACGAGGCCTGTCGTCACTGACCCTATGACATGTTGGTGCCTTTCTGTCCCTGCTTGCCTAGGTAACGCGTCAAGGACAGAAGAAGCTCCCACAGCCACCCGTTACCTGAGACACACACTAAGTGGGTCCCTCTCCTAACAGAGCAGGACCCCTCGACCTTAGATGTGCAGAAAAATCACTTTCCTCTTCAGTCTCAGTTTGCCATGTGCAGAATGAATGGGTTTAACTAGGGGCTCCATCAGACCGGAACATTCTATGATTTAAATATTTATTTTAGAATTCTTAAGATTCCATTCTATGATTCTTATTGCTCCTTCCATTCCTTAGAGCAGAAATCCAACAGCAAACAGATAGACAGGCTGTTTTTCTTTCATGGGGTCGCCATTCCTGTGGGTGAAAATGACGATAGAAGCGTGTAATATGAATCGTGACAGTTCTGTGTCAGACGCGGGACATGATGCGGAGGTGCAGAGGGGTAGGTGACGCCTGAGAAGAGAATGGAAGGCGTGAGGAAGCAGGTCTTGAGGGGAGCTGGGGAAAGAGCATCCCAGGAAGGAGGGGGCAGTATGTGCAAAGGCCCCGAGGCTGGCAGAGCGGGCACCGGAGGAAGAACGGGCAGCCAGTGTGGCTGGAATGCAGGGAGCGGGGGAGATGGCGGCCAGACACAAGTTGGGGGCATTTCCGGGAATCGTGCAGGCCTTATGGGATGTGACGAGGAGGTGGGATCCACTCTCTCCCAGGTGTTGTGGGAAGCCACGGAAATATTGAATCAGGGGTCTCATTTCCATTTGACAGAGCTGACTCTCCCCCGGGTGCACGTAGAGAGTAGATTTCACGATGGGGAGAGGAATGGCCGCAGGAGGCCCCACCGGGAGCTGTCGCCAGGACCCAAGCAAGGAGGAAGGTGCCACCTCTGATGAGGGCAGGGGTGTGGAGGGGCAGGCAGACTGGAGGTGGATTCTGAATTTAGTGATTCGATGTCGGTCAGCTGAAAGAAGAGGGAGGACCCGAGGGTGACATGTGGTAGGTCACTGGCCTGAATGACTGAGCATTTGGTGGCACCAGTTACTGAGAAAGGGAACACTGGGTCTTTTGTAACTTTGTTGAAAACTTGCCAAACCTGAAAGCCTGAACAGCTCTGCCTACTGAGCAACTGGGGCACCTCCCTCAGGGCCATCTGGGACGGGAGGACCCTGAGCTCCCAGGGACCCCAGACGGTCACCACACGCCAGGCCTCGGCCGGAGGACTGAGCCTATCCAGATGTGGAAGCAGCAGGAGGCCCAGCATCTGGCGGCTGCGTGGCCAGAGCCCAGCCCGAGATTCATGGAGGAAACCGAGGGGCCAGCCATCCTTCGAAGCGCTCCTCAGCCCGCTCCATGACCCCAAACCGCAGGAGAGGTCGTAGGACGCTGGGTTCTGACAAGACGCTCAGGACGGGGCCGTTTGCATTTGAGCGAGGCTGCGTTCTCAGCCTCAGCCTCCTCCATAAGCCCCTGCTGGGAACTGGGAAATCAATTTAACCGCAGAAAAATTTCAAGATTTCAGATGCTGGACTTAATCAAGGGCACATTTTTCATTAGTCCAGCTGCTCCACTTCTCAGAAGGCTCGGAGCCTTCATTTTATACATCGAGGCTTTTTTTGTTTTTTGTTTGTTTTTTTTTTTTTTTAAGGCCATTTGGAGAAAGGAAGAAAGAAGGGGGGAAAGGAAGGGGGCAGATAAGAAAGGCGAGCTGGAGAAAGGGGACTTTCAACCTGCAGATGAGGAAGGAGAGATTTTCAGGTCTGTCGGATGGTCCGCTGGCGGAGCCCTAACTGACGCCAGTTTCCTGCTGCCTCCGCGTCTCCAGCCGCGTTTGCTTGTTTAAATTTTGGAGACGTTAGTGCTGTTTGATGTTGGGTGTTGGGCAAAGAAACATTCCACTAAGAACTGAGCTTTGCCTCCACGTCCCCTTTTGGGACTTTGGTAACTTTTTCCGATCGGAACCAGAATCTCCCACGTCTGGCTACACTAATTACAGCAGACTGGACATCTCAGACTTAGCAGCCCTGCTCTGTGCCAGTTTGAAAGGCACTGGTCAACGCGGCCCTCCCAGGACCTCTGCAAAGGAAGAGCCGCTCCAGCCCCGCTCCCAGCTAGAGAAAGGAAAGCTCAGGCACAGAGACATGGAGATTGTCCCAGGTCGAACGCACCCAGGAGCAGGGATGGGAAGCCCGCGCCTCCCCATCTGCCAGCTCCTTTTTCCCCAAAGAGACAGCCTGAAGGAGTCGGCTATTTCATATCCTGAGCAAATAGATGACTCATTCTCGGTTGGCCTTGGCCTTCAGAGGCCCCGACCTGGACTTACAGAGTTTGCGAGGAGGTTGGGACTGGCTTTCCTTGATGAGTCAAGTCTACTTCAGATGGAGCCTGAGCAGCAAGCTGGCAAAGCGAAACCCCGCCTTGTCTCCCAGGTGAGACCCTGCTGGCTCCTCACGCACCAGCCCCAGTCAGCCACTGCCCTGCGTAACCCACAGTCAGCACCAGAGAATGGACGCTGCGCGTGGAGGTGCCTCCTTCAATTACAGCCACAGGCGGCGGGTCCTCAAAATGCATGCCGCCGACATCCAGGAGACTCTCAGGCCTCCCCGCTCACGGTGGGATAACTGTACATTTTCCCTGGCAACAAACAATTAAAACAAACAAAGAAAGTGCATTTTGTCCTGATGCCATAGAGCTCTTTTTACTGTTATACATAGACAATCACACAAAGCAGTGAGCCTTATTTTCACTTTAAGCAAAGTCTCAGCTTTAGTGAAAAAAATGATTTTGCTGAGACCCTGCCTTATCTGTCTCTCAAGATGAGACTATTCTTGGGACTTCAGCTTATGAAAACCGCTGGTTGGAAAGACAGGAATGTTCGAAGGTCTTTTTTTTTCCCCCCCCCTAAGATGTACGCATTATGATAGGTACTGTGAAGATTCGTTGGTAAGCTTCTGGATAAAAGTAGATTTCATACACTAATAGCAGATATATCAACTGATGGAAAGTAATTTGGGGAGGCATTCAGGAAGCAGATAAGACTTATTCTTTGCTTTTAAACAAATTTTTGTGTCGTGACATCAAACTAGGAAGCAAATAAGGAAGAGCATGAACATAAGTTTAAGACAGAGAGAAAAATCACTGTTCTTTTCAAGAAATATGTAAATTTAATAAGTAAGAGAATGCATAACAGAATGTGTTTATGCATTCCGAATCTTGCCAAAACCAAAATGATTTTTTAAAAAATATTTAAAACGTCACCGGTAACCTTGAACATATCATAGTCAAATGTCTTTAGTAGATAACGAGGCCACCCAGGAATTAAAGCCAGTGTTTAAGAAGGAATAAAAGTTACGCCAGAACTAACATTTTCAGCTCATAACGAGAAGGAAAAGTGAGAACACAGAAAAGAAAATCCTGATCAAGTAACATTCATTTGAAGTTTTCAAAAAATTTAAAATCTTCATTTCAATTATGTATATTTTTCTGGCAAATATTAACAAGTATGCATGCTATATTTCTCTTCTTTGTCTTTCAGTGAAAGATAAATGATAAAGAAGCAATGAATTTCAGGTTTGCTTCCGCCTTAAAGTCTCCATATTCACAGGCACCAGAAGTTCATCTAAGACACCATGACTTAAACCAGGTCCTGAGGAAATGACAACAACGTTAAGATGAGACTCTTCTAAATCAGCCCCAATAAGAATGCAACGTTTTGACTTTATCAAAGAGGATATTCTCTATGAGGTCTTTTAGCCGAAGTCCTCAAACTGTAGACTAGCATCTTGGTGCATCTCTGATCCTCCCTAGATTGGCGTATTAATCAGGACTCTAGATTACAAGTGACAGAAATAAAATCAAATGGTGCAAAGAAATGTAGATTTACTAGCCTATCTTTTTAAAGTCCAGATCCATGTCTAGCCAAATCCCAGTACACAGATGCAGGCAGTCGTCTCTCCCCATCCTTGGCACAGCCTTCCCCCCGCTTGGCCCCTTCTCAGGCGGCCTCTCCTCCTAGCTTGGCTCCTGGAAGGTCCCAGTTCACACCTCTGCAACCCAACAGAAACATGACTTTTGTACCCCGCAGTTTCAATGGAAGAATCGAGTCTCTTCGACTCTGACTGGGTCCTTTGTCTTTGAGCCAATCTCAGTGGCCAAGAGGATGGAACGCTGACAGTTCACACTGTGCAAAGCCTCAGGCTTCTAATGCAAGATGTGGCTCTGTGTAAGAGCTGTGTCACAGGAGGGAGGAGGAAAGCCTATTCTCTAATACAGCAAAACGTCAAGCTTTCTTCTATACCTGAGTCGACCCAGCACCCCACCAAGGTTTTCCTCGAAAGGAAGGACAGAGGCTCTCACATCAGGAAGAAGGCTGAACGGAGGAGGGGAGAGGGGACCTCCTAGTCACAGATTAGCGTCTTCAGAGAGGCTTTTGAAAGGGCCCTTGCGACACACATTTGAAAGATGTCACAATATTTTTCCAGGGAAATGTATAAGTTCTATAAAGATCACAGTATTTGGCCAAAGGAAAAAAGAATTTAGAATTCTTTGCAGGTTGAGATTTTTGACTTGTAGAATATGTGACATGAAATTATATTGATGATAGAGAGCTATCTAGGGCTTTGAGAAGAGCTGCCATCTGAGTTACCTGCGAACAGGTGAGACATGAGTCCTTAAAGGAAAGCAGAGGGGCTGATGCTTGAAGAAAGGGGAACAGAGGCTAAGCTGACACGCAGCAGATTCCACATCAGCTCCCTAAACACGTTACCACCATTGTCAGACACCTCTCTTGTCCTTGCTCTTTGCCACAGCCCTCAATCCACATATGGCTGGAGTGCTCCTTTGCGGGGAAGTCTAAGTGAACTCACAGTTCCATTCAACAAACACATTGGGTGAGGGGCGGGGACTGGTGCGTGCTCAGTGTTGGAGAGGTGCAGATAAATTGGGCATGGCCTCCTGTCCCCAAGGATCTCACAGGATAGTAAGAAAAACAGATATATAACCTGATATTATAATTTGATAAGTGATATAATCAGGAAATGTGATTTGAATACTTAAATGATGAAGACGAGTGCACCTTTTAGGAGAACTTGGATAGACCCAAGACTGGCACAGTGAGGCTCCTGCCATCTTTCCAGTCTCATTTCGTGTCACTCCCCCTTCCCCACCCCTCTCCCCATTCCTAGAATTCTAGCAACTTTGGTCATCTTTGAGTTTTTGAATGTGACTAGTTTTGTTCCAGGCTAGTTTTGCACAGGCTATTTCTTCCATCTGAAAGACCCTAGTCAGTTAGAGGTGTCTTCCACACCTCTAACTGACTAGCCCCCCTCATCCTTCTACACCCAATCGTCACCTCCTCCGATATACCTTTCCTGATAACCCAGTCAAAAGTATACCCCCACCTCAATATTCTCCATCTCCCTTCATGTTTTTTTCATTCGACAAATTTTTATGGAGTGCCTATTGTATGCCAGGCAGTCTTCTAGGAGCCAAAGATAAAGCATTGAGCAAACTGAAAAACATTCCTCGTGGAGTTTTTATTCTATTTAGGGGAAGAAATATTGTTGGAAGGCATTAGATGCCATGGAGATAAATGACAGAGAAGCGCCATCATCTCCAGCTCCGCTCTCAGGGAACCTAAGCAAAGACAATGTTCAAAGCTTCAACCTCAGAAATACTGGGGACCCTCCAGGCTTATAAGATGTGACTGGATTTAGATAGAAATTAATTCCAAATTGAGCTCGTTTCAACTGGAATTGGTGATGGTCTCTGAGAACAAAGAACACTCACACAAGGACATAGTCCAACATAATCACACACTCTGCAATCGTTGGGTCTTCCAGCTTTATTTCTCTTCTGTTTCATGGCTCTCTGCTTTCTCTGGACACCACAATACACAGGAGAGCTGTATAATAACCTTTAAATTCTCTGTTTTATGATGAGAAAGAATAACGATGGATGTGTGAGTATTAACAGAGGTGAAAGATGCCCCCCTCCTTTGTTTTGGCCTCTCTATACACCCCGCAACAACATGGCAGGATCTGGACTGACTCAAGCTGCACCGTATCTGAGTGGCCTCATTTTTTAAAAAATCTCCTAGGAATTTATATTTGTTTTCTCTGCAGATGACTCATTTTTTCTTCGTCCCCTTTGAACATATAAAATTTAGAATATGTGGAGCACAGCACCGATTCATTCCAAAGTGCTCACCATTAACTGGGGCCATTTCCAGACCTCATGTTCCTGCCCTTTCTTAGAAGTAGCCTGTAGCATTTTCATAGTAAAGAGCAGTTAGCGTACTTTAAATCTTCACTGACTTAGAAATTATTTCCAAGAAATCCACTAGTTGATTTTGTTACCAGTATGGGTTTTTGTTTTGTTTTGTTTTGTTTTTTTCATTCAAAGTCTACTTTACAAAAGCATTTTTCTATATCCTCCAACCAGGAGTAATAGTTGTTGATTCTGATTTTAGCTAAAACAATGATGATGAATGTGATGGTGATGCCAGGGACAGAGGTGATGGTGATGCTGTTGATGGGGGGAATGGTGATGATGAATGTGATGGTGATGGTGGTGGTGGTGGTGATGGTGATGGTGGTGGTGGTTCCCCACACACTCGGAAACATTGGTCGAAGATAGAAGGTATTAGCTGTAGGTTTACTAATACAAAATATTCCTTTCATATTTTAATTCCCTAGTGCACTTGATTATAATTTTAACCTCATTGACATATTCATAGGTAATCACTTAAAAACCTAATTTAACCACAACCAGCAAGAAACACATGAACCCAGGTGAGTCCTGCCAATCCAACACAGAGGTCATGTTTATGAGCCAGGGCTCCTTGGATGGTGCTTCAGAAGTGGTTGTCATGGAGATCTCTGGGAGAAGCACTGCTTCAGCCCAAAGGGAATCATTAGGGATTTCTAAGTTGGGTCAACTGTGGAGTTTTGAGGAAAGAAGTCCTTGCCTAAGGAGCCCTTCTTTATCTGCTGTCACCGGGAACAGGCTCTGAAGGAGCCCATCACAACATAAGAGTAGACATCAGCCTTCACAGAAGAATTTCAAGATGGGCTCATTGGGTGGAGGCTTGCTCTTGCCATCTACAAGAGGGACAATAGGATTTCCTGGACTGTAATAAGGCTTACATCTAAAGCAAATCAGCCAAGTTCGCAAGCCATCTCCATGAGCCTGGCCAGTATCCAGTGACCTGCTTCTATGTGGACGATCAGGAAGAAGACAGAAACAAAGTGTCCGCTCACCTGGGAGCCACTGCACCCCCATTTTCCTTTTCTTTTTCCATAATATAAAAAAAAAAACAACTCATGCAATATTTTCAGCCATCATCTAAGGCAAGAATGAGATGGATATAGAAATGAACATATTAATCAGGCTCCCCCGGCAGACTTTCTCCCTTTTCTTCATTAGAAACTGTAATCTGGGTACTGTAATTTTCAAAGTTAGTGAAATACTAAAGAGACGCATGTCGCCTGGTATCAAATGGATCCCCAAAATAACATTGCTGGAAATAGATCATTTGATAAAATATTCTTAAACAGTTTCAAGATAAGTAAAGGGGGGGGTTGTTTTTTTGGGAGGGGGGCATTTACAGCAAATTGGCAGAATTTTCCTCCAGTTTCCAGCTTCCCAAGTGTGATTTTTTTATTCCAAAATGCTTTTAAGCTTGTAAAAATGAGCTTGCTGCCTACCTTCCCGCTATGCTGAATTGTCTCTTTTACGTTTGCAGTTAATTTTAAACCTGAGATTGATGACTTCTTTAGTGCTGAGTCACTAGAACAGGAATGGCCAGTTTTTCAATTACATGTGGGAAAAATGGGAAGTCTGGAATGAGTATACGAGCAACATTCAGTATATTCCTTAAGAGCTAGAAATGATAAATGCTGTTGACCAAAAGAATCTCAGATGTTCCCCAAGAATGGCCCTTCTCTCTGGCAATAAAAAAAGGGAGTTGGAGGGTTTTTCTAATTAAATATTTATCTCTCCAGGTAGATCAAATGTGCTATGAATTCAGTGTCTGCTTCTTAAGGTCTTAGCACCATCCATTATCCCTTGAACCTAAGAGCAAGAAATCAGTACATTCTTGCTGACAGCTTGATTGATGAACTTAAGAATCAGGAGATGACAGATCTTGGTGTAAACCAGGGTGGCTGAAAGAGAAAGAAAGGCTTGCTTTCATAAAAAAGAGCTGTTATGGGTTGGATCGTGTCCCTACCCAAATTCATATGTTGACATCCCAACCTCTAGCACCTCAGGATATGACTATATTCGGAGGCAGAGTTTTCAAAGAGGTAATTAAGGTTAAACGAGGTCATTAAAATAGGCCCTAATCAATACAACTGGTGTCCATATAAAAGATTAAGATATGCACAGAGGAAAGACCATGTGAAGACACAGAGAGAAGGCGGCCATCTACAAACCAAGAAAGAGAAGCCTCCAAAAAAAGAGCACTGCCAACACCTTGATCTTGGACTTCCAGCTTCCAGAACCATGAGAACATAAGTTTCTGTTGTTTAAGACACCCAGTCCGTGGTACTTTGTTTCAGCAGCTCCGAGAAACTAGCACAATAGCTACCTTGCCTTTAGCTGAGGTTTTATCCTCTGCAAGCTGACATTGCTTACATGCATGAAGCCCATGAGTGAAATATGACACGGTTTTATATCAAGGTCAAGGAGACATTTGAACTCGAACTTAAGCATTCGGTTTGCACCTGGTCAGATAGAGCTTCTGTAAAATGTGTTGTCCCCAACGAGGTCCGAATGATTTATAATCTCCAAGAGTGAAAAAAGTTAAGTTACCTTCTTATACTAGTATTTGAAATACCCTTACTTCAACTCCCACCAAAAAAAATAAAAG